AAGTTACGGTACGATAAATAGTTTAAAATTACCATAAAAAGAAGAGCCCGGAATTACGGTGAGATACGGTGGAATGAAGAGTTCGAAATCACGAGTAAAATCAAGTAGACCTTCAACATAGACCAATTTACTTCCATCCCTTGCGCTATTCCTTGTGTTTGCATCAGTTTGTTAAAGTAAAGTGATCGTTATTTCACCATTGGGAATAAATTTTCATTGTGCCACCCTCGTGTTTACGTGATTTTGAGGATGGCCGTTGCACTCCTACGCTTACTTTCCTACACGTGGTTCCCACGTATTTGTCGCAACGTTTTGTTCCTTTCGAACTGTATTTTCAGTAACGTAGGAAATATTGTAATTAATGAATTACAGCTTAAGCTATGGCAGAAAGTTTGGAAGGAAGCATTGATATGGATTGTGACAAGAAGATGGATTCATTGGCTTACTCCAAAGAGCTAGGTTTTTTTTTTTCAGATTGGTCATTGTTGGGAATGTAATGCCATCTTCGAAATAATTTTCCGTAAGCTATGGAACTATGGATTTATATTAGCAAGTTTCACTTGTTGCTATACAGTGGTTTTCTTTCCTATATTCGAATGTTAGGGTGGTAATGCCTAGCGACAATAAGTGATGTTTTTCAGTTCGATAAATTTATTCATGATTATCGTGAATCAGCTGAACTTTCATCCTGTAGCTTGCATGAAAGTAATACGCCGATCGACGCTGCATTGAAAAAGGATTTCATTAATATAGAAAGGAAATTAACGAGAACTTTTTATGCCATCAAAAAGTATGTTCAAGCTGTGATTTACTGCTCTTTTCTTTTTCACACGCATGTCACAATTGATATGGTATAGTGTTGATTATAGAATACTGTAGTTTGAGTAGGAAGTATTCATGTTTTAGACGATTTAGTTGTGTAGTATTGGAAATTTATTTTAGGGACATGGATAAGTTTGACAAAAGAGTACGAAGAAAGAGATAAGAACTTCATAGTTGCCCTTTCGTCGTTGCCCTAATTTTGTTAAATTGTTTTCTTTTATATGTGAAGGAAATTGAATATTTTTAGGTTACCAAAAACAGGGACTTTGAATGAACTGTACTTGCGTATCGAATCCATGCTGGAGATTTTTAAAACGGTAAGGCTGTAAATTTTATCTACGGGTCAGAAAATATATGAAAAGCGGAAATTGGTTGCTAGCTACCGTCGTTTTACTCAGTACATCTATGGGAGGTTCAGTTGCGGATAGGAATTGAAGTTCAGAATCGGGGAGGTTCTGATGATACTTTCAAATTAGGTATGATCATAGAAAATTATCTGATTTATTTTTAGTTAAAGATCATAAAAGAGGATAATAAAGAAGAGTTCAGTTTGCATAACGTTCCTCTACCGGATTATGATGCTACGGATATCGAATTACTGCTTGGGAAGGAATATGCATCAGCACGAGTAACACATAACAATGGTTTGTCAATATTCGAAGATAAACTGCGGGAGCAAATTATCAGAAATAATCGGATGGCCAAAATTTTGTTGAAGGAGTGTGATGAAACTCTGTCATCATATCGAGAGAAAGGTGATTGTTTCGTACGGGGTTTCAATGAACCTAACGAAAATTTTGCAGTCTTAAATAAGTATGAGATTAAATGAATAATTTCTTCATTGCATTTTTTTTTACTGTGGGATCAATGAGTGATTTTTTCTAGCTCTTCAAAGTATGCAGCTATAATGTTGTTATGGGTTTTTGTTCGAACCACGACGTGAAACCAGGATATATTTACCATCAGACGAATTCATTCATCATTTACTTTTCCGGTAAGTTCCTGTTTTCCCATTATATCTCTACGCATGGTATTTATATCAGTTTTCTGTTGAAAATTTGCTCGGAAAAAAGTCACTTTTTAGAAATAACTTGAATATTTCCTTAACCTGTGAAGATTCGCATTCATATAAACTTAGATGAATTAAATGGATTAGAAGTTCTCTAAAATTGTTGTACTTTGTATCTGTTTAGTCACTTATTTTAAAAAGTTATTTAGTTATTGTTTGCTCGTGTTGTTGTGTTAAAGTGTCAAATTATTCCTCATTCAGGCTGACCATCAATTTGTTAATTTTCCCGGAGCAACAACATAGAGGTTGAAAAGAGATTTGATGGAATTTCAAATAAAATCTTATATGAGGCGTGTATCCCTCGAATAATGTAATTTCCCGTTTTAGAGTGATACCAACAGAAATATTCTTGATGTTAAACAACGTGTATAGTAATATCATCAGTGAATTGTAATCAGTTTTGTTATCACCGATTGGACTGTAATACTTCTTCAAAACATTTGCATTCAGTGGTTCCATTTGGTGCTCTCCTAGAAACGTGCACATAACAATAGCCGCCTTCTAATCCCTGTAAAAAATCATTATAATTATCAGTTACAATGAAAAGAAATTCATTTCGTTCATGTCATTTATGAACAGTTGACAGGATATTTTTTTGCACTCAGATATTACAAGTATCCCTAGACAAATGTTTCATCTTTGAGGTTGGTACTACGAAGTTCAGAAAATATGCTACATTTTTTTTTGAAATCCTTCTATGCAAAGCATAGATATTCAAAATAGCATTAAAATGGAATGTATATAATAGAATCATATTTTGTGGCATTATCTATTTTCTTTCTTGCATCATAACAGAATATTAATTTCGATGAGGTTGCTTCATTATTTCATTTCTTTTGAAGGCAAAAATAAGATTTAGAAAAAGAATGAGAAAGGAGACTATCTGTTCAGTAAAGCAGCAATGTACATGTTGAGTTTGTCTTATTTACCATTATTCGATCTGCAATGCATATGAAATATGTAGCGATTGATAATGTTTTGATTTAAACTAGAAACTGTATGTTGTTTTGATAAATTGAAGGATGAAAGATGTGTTTCAGTTAGAAGAAAAGAGAATAATAGAACAAATGGATGTAATGGTGTCATTCCTATTATTACAATTGAATTTGAGTAGCTGTTTGCGTGCCCATTTTTTTTTTCTTTTGCTTCTCTGAACCGAGTTTTATTCATCTATTCGAGTGAATGTATGTCACTCCTACTTTTCTATTACTTTTATCATCATCTTTAGCCAATGATTTGTTTGATTTCTAAGTCACATTATCTTTTCTACTATTTAATTAGGATTGTTGCGAAGACAGTATGAAATGATAAATTAGGTAGGCATACCAAAATTGTGTAATAAATATTTAAAGAGATGCTGAAACATACACAATTTTAAGAAAGTATGTGTAACATTTTTCTAATCGCCGAAATAGATGGAAAAATTTTTAGTTAAAATTGAATTTTTATATGTATCATTCTTGATAACATATGCATACGATTTTATATTCGATAATTTCACAAATTTCTAGTAAGAATAATTGGGGAATTAATTTCCTAAAATTGTTTTGGTTTTCATTAGGAAGATTAAGTAAATTTTTCTAATTCGATCAATAAATATTACTCTTATTTTTTTTCTAGATGTCATATGTAATATAAGTCATTTTTAAGGTAAAGAATTGATGAGCCATAACATCAATTGGAACTGCTTTTTTTTCAAGCAAAATATTGAAATTTCAACATCATTTATTGAGCAACAATCAATATTAAGATCGTTTTCTCGAATGCTTCACTTTCCGAAGTCAACGTTAAATGGATTGAAATAGGAAATGTAATGCTTAAATACCTTATAAGATGTAGGTAGAAGGGAAAGAAAAAAAATGATATATGTATTTGATTGATATAGGTAAAGATATAAATCCCTATATATGATAATGTGATACGATGTGTAGATGTGTTGATAAGGGAAATGATGATTAAGTGTAGCTTTTTAGGCAGATAAAAGGATTTTTACTAACCAAAAAGAACAGCTGTGATTTTTTTTTTTCTCACTAAAATGTATCAACTCATCTATCAGTTTCAATTTTAATTTTGAAATTCTAACTGAAATTGTTATCAATTGCGATTAGATTAAAAAATAAGGTAGAAATTGATCTTTGTAAAAGATGGATGAAATTAAATCAAACCTATTGGTTGTTCATTGATTCATTAATTGTTTCTCTTCATACATCTCTTTAAAACTAACTTTTTTTTCCCTTTTTTTTTCTTTTTGTCACTTAGTTTTTGAAATCAAAAATTTTTATGATGTAAGAATATAGCATGCAAAAAATTAGATTCATTTACAAATAAGTAAATAATG